GGAGGGGAGCCGGGCGAGGAGCCAAGCCCCGGCCGAGGTGAGAAGGGTTAGTTAGTTGCTCCCCTCCCCCACCGCCCAGGCTAATTAAGCTTGGTAATAACTTACCATGTGCGCTGCTGGTGTGATTGAGTGCAACTTGCCTTGTCAAGCCTGCTCTGGTGTTCAGCGCGCGGGTTAGCTTGCGCTCGCTAACAGCGCCTGAAAAAGCCATTTTCTTAAAATCCCGGGCTCGGGGTGCTTAGGAAGCCCACGCTCTGTCACTTACACGGCCGGTGGCGCAGGTGACTTCGAGTACCTCGCCTCAGGTGTGCCAGCAGCGCGGTTTTCCCCTCCTGACCCTCTCAGGCAGCGGCGGAGTTTGGGTAAGCGAAAATGCGCAAGTGCTTGGGTTTTTCAGAGAACTGAGGATTTCTAATGTAATTTGCTGTATTTCCTCCTCTTAGTCAAATCGGAGGTCGACGTGCCCCTCTTTCTGCTCAAAGCACCGTCGTTAATTGGGGTTTAATCGAAGGGCTCATCTCTGTGAGCAGCGTCAGTATTGGGGCGATGGCTGTTTGAGCTGTGCTGGTGACGCTTGTGCCTGGCCCTGGCGTGACGGAGGTCGCGCACGGCTACGGGTGACCCCCGTAGCTGCAGCTTCACTCGCCACGGGTGGTGTCAAGGTTATGGTGCAGGGGAAAAAACTGTAGCGGCGGGGAGTCCCGTCGGCGCTACGTGGTGCTCTGTGAACCCCCTCCTGCTTAAAGGTCAGAGTGCTGCGGTCTCCAAACCTCACCTTCAGCCTTCCTTCCAATGCAAGGACGAAGAGCAGGGGTAGGATTAGCAGTTGGAATATGTATGTATCTACGCATATGCACGCCTGCGTGTATATAACTGTTCACGCTGTTCAGTGCACGGCATTGCACGCCCATCACAGGAGCAGTATTGAGTGGAGAGGTGTTGATGGGTACAAGCCCGCTGCCTCTGTCGCAGACTGGTTATATTGGACAGGCCGAGGGAGAAGAGCCATGGCAGCCGCTGCGCAGTGTGCAGGCCCAGGGGGACCGAAAGGAACCTTGGGAGCAGCTGTCAAACCTGACTTGTCCCAGTCAATTTGCACGTGCTGATTTATGGCTGTCCGAGATTTATGGCCGTCCGAGTCAACTCCTGTGTGGCTCCTGGCAGAAGTGTGGGTGTGCTGGTTTTGGGAAGTGATTGTAGGCCAGGGGCTGTATGCTGCCGCTGGGGAGTATGGTGACAGTGGGTTTTTTTGAAGGATCCAGATAACGTTGTTGTCAAGCTGTCTGTCCAAGTAACTATGAAATCAGACTGTCTGCACTGAATAGTCCGTCAGATGATACCTGTATTTCCTGTTGGCCTTTCAACATGCAAAACTGTGGGTGTTTTACGTCTGAGATAAACAGAGCACTTTCCTCCCTGCTGTTTTGTGCACCTGCATCCAGCTGTATGAAATGAGCTGTAAAATGCTGTGGGAGGTATGTGTGGGAGAGGGGATGTGGCATTTTAGTTGTCTTATTCACGGTTAAGTATCAAGTCCGTGGTTTTCAACTTATCTGCCAACTATCAGTGATCAACAAGACCGTGGTGAATCATCTGCAGCCAGTATGTGGAACATTTATTCTTAGGTACAGATATTTATACACATATATGCCACTTACAGACAATGTTGGGACTTGGTAGTGCTCCACAACTTAAAAAACATGGAAATTGCTGTTCTTAAAGAACTAGGGAAACAAAAGGGAATGAATAATTACGTATTTATTATAAAGGGAAAGAAATACAGTTTTATAAGTATTTTTCAGGATGGATCCTAAGCAAGAAAGATGCAGAGCCACAGATGCACAGTGACTGTGTTTCTCTGTGAGACCCAGAAAGCAGGAGTCAGTTGAAGGTCCCACCCTGTACCCCATGACCACTTGTAGGGTCACCCTGGGGTCTGTCAGATCATTATTTCAAATGCCTGTATTCTTGAGACGTCTTCCATTTTTTCAGTGCTTCCCTCAGGATTGTGGAAAGAAATAATTACCAGTGTCACAATGTAGGTTGGCTGTGTCTTGGAGACGTGACAGAAGATAGGGGATGAAGCCTTTACCATAGCTGCAGGAGCCACCAAGGTTCACCAGGACATGGAACTTGTGGGGCCTGCTTTCATCCACCTTAAGGCTCCTCCTGTATTGTCAGGGTAAAAGAAAGATTTTTAACTTTATTTTTTTTAGCTCATCCAGGAATCTGTAGGGAGGAGCTGTAAGGCTTCCAGAATGAGCTGACCATAAGTTGCATGCTTTGCCACTGGGTTTGTCGGGTCCTTGCTGACAGTGGAGAAACAGCGAGAGCAGGGATGCCTGTGCTGGCCTTCTTCCTGGAGCCTTTCTTAGGCTCCCAGTACCTCCTCCTTTTTCAGCTTTCCTTTACAGGGTGGGCTTCTGTCTTTTCCCAAGATCCCTTTCCATTTTTTTCACTCCTCTTTACTACAGTTCCCACTTGGACCCCCATTTTTGGCCTTACTCTCGTGTAACTTCTTAGGCCAGTTTACGGTATTGTCTCGTATCTCAGCCCGACTCCCACCCTCTCTGCATTTGAGTTGGGAGGCTTTTGGCAGTTTGTGCTGGCCCTTGCCCTCAGGGCAGTCCGCATCCAGAACGTTCTGTTAACACCATGTTTCTGGAGCAGAGCTTTAATACTTACCGAAAAAAGGACACATGTGACAGGCATATGAGGTTTTGGTCTGTGTTTTTTAACTCTGCTGCATATGTCGTCTTGATCTTTGCCCTGCAGCGTGAGCGTGCTCATCTGACATTGCCACGACCTTTTTTTTACAAAGGCCTGTGTAAAATGTTCAGTGTGTCTGCGCGCAAAGGCTGTGCTTGAGCCACGTCGACCTGACCCCTCTGATCATGTGCCACCTGCCTGGAGGAGGCGTGTGGGCTTCCTGTGGCACTAGCCCTGCAAAAGGCCCTTCCTGGTGCTGCAGAGGGGCTGGGCACTGCACCCGACACTCAGGCACCGCTGCTGCTGGGGCTGTCTCATGGAAGCAGGAGGGAGAACTGCTCTGTCCTGGAGTGCCGGGGCTGCTGCTGTCCCAGTGATGCCACCCTTTTTATTTTTAGGCCTGTTTATTGTGCTGTCTTGCATTGTCTTGAGCTTTAACTTGTTGTTCCATCGTGTTGAGCGGATTTGTAGGAGCAGGCCCCAAGACAAACAGTTATGCCAAATTTGAGTTGGTTAGAGCAGTGTCCATGTAACTAAGTATTAAGGGGCTCAGTGTTTACTGGGTGTTGCGTGATTCATTTCTGGGGCTAAGGTCTGTTCTAAACAGCACAGATTTCGGTATCTGGGAGAAGAGAATCACCAAATATTGATTCCAACCACCTCTTCCTGGTTGCAGCTGAAACCATTTAATGTGTCCTTGCAGTAAATACAAAGACACTTAGAATGAGGCTGACAAGAACAGAGTGAAAATCCTACTACGTAATTTAAAATGCTTTTCAGTTTTTGAAAATGTGATACTTGCCAACAGAAGGGGTTCCTCAAGGAAATGGCATGACGGTATGAAATTACAGGAGTGATGCTGTGAATCCTGACTTTCTTACGAGAACTGTGCGCTTTTGGTCCATACCCCACTGTTATTTGTCAATTTACCCATCCATGCAGAGGGGTTGACTTTTAATATTTCACCTGCAACTGTTTTGAAGAAGTATTTTTGTGCCCTTTTGATGCTAATATGATTGAAGTTTACAATTCTGCTCTATACAGATAATTTAATGTTTACCTCAACAACCTCTTTTTTTTTTTTTTTTTTTTTAGGTTTTGTACTATAGTCTGCTGTTCATTATAGTATTATTTTTTGTTGTAGTGGGTCTGTTTACTGTTTGAATTAGTGCTCTAAGGAAAAAACCAGGAATGCTGCCACTTGGAGAACAAAACTTAGCTTTTAGCAGATTTACTGGATTTTATTCTTGATAGATTCTTTTGTGATTTTGTTTTAATTAAAGGGATTTAGAATTTTCATGTAAGTCTGTCTTTTGTTAGCTTAGAGTTGGGTGTCCTTGTTGCATATAGTTTCTCACCTATGTGCTAGTAGCACTGAGGTTTTCTAGTTTGTCGTGTTTTCTTGTGGAAGTGTAATGGGACGCAATGCATGTAATGGCTGGATAGTTATGTTTTATCTTGGTCAGACAAAGGAGCAAAATACAAATATCCAGACAGAAATATTTTGTGGATTATGCAGTGATAAAGCTTTCTTCTTTCCAGCAGATCATGCAGCAAAAGAGCCAGTGGAGGATACGGATCCAAGCACTCTCTCCTTAACAATGGTATGTGTTTCTGGTCTAGCACAGTCAAATCATCATTGTTCACTACACTTATGTGATGCAGAAGTGAGGTAAAACGTTCAAGATGTTAACTCAAGCTGTGAGTAGAGGTAGGGTTTTGCTTATCGGTAAGATCGTACAAACAAATGTTAATTTACTAACCTTGTGCAATTAAAGCATAAATAAAAATACCAATAGATACATAAGCTGGATTAGATGGTATCAGCTGAGCTGTGTTACAGCCTCTAGAGGCTACGACAGTACCATTTTTTTAATTTAAAGAAAACCCCAATAGCCGAGAAAGATTGGTGCTGTCATTCTTATGTCTGTAGGGGTTGGAGGGGTAAGAAAACCCACCTAGGGCTTAAAATTTCAGTAGTACTAAGTTGTTACTCCTTCATGTACCTGTTGTATTTGATGAGCTGAAGCCATGGAAAGGTCAGACCAAACAGCAGTGCCTTTGGCCAGTGTGGGTGAGGCTCGGGAGAGGCCGAACAGCGTGCCGTAGTGCTCGCTGGCAGAGCAGCGCCGTTTATGGCAAGGGTTTGTGTCTTGGGATATTCAGCATGCCAGCCTTCTGCTGAGACAGGAGTGTATCAGGTCAAAGCAGTATGAAACTCTGTGAAGTCTTTGAAGAGTTTTTAATGGTTCTATGGGTTGTTTACTCTGGGGAAAAGTTACAGTGCCACGTAGCCCAGAGGAGACTGTTGTCTAATTTGGTTAAGTGAACAGACTGAAATGCATTGGTTTATTTTATGGATGGGAAGCGAGAAAGCTCTTGCTTTGCCTTGGTGTTTTCTTCCCGTTTTAAAGCTTTGCAACAGAGAGTCAGGAGGAAGCTCTTAAAATTTCACTAATACTTCAGTCCTTCACTGATCTTTCACTGGGATCTGTTATTGCAGTCTGTGTACGTGCATTTGTGTTAGCAGGTTTTAAGACAAAATACAGATGTTGAGATTGGTTTTGTGTACTGACTAAATTAGGTGCTGTGTTTTGCAAAGGGGAATTTTTAAAAGGTGGGGGAAAGTCGCTATGTCTGAGACAAAAGAAGGTTTATCATCCCCCCCCACCACCTTAATTTAAGATGTCTTTAATCTGTTTGCTTGGTTACGAGCCTCTACAAAAGCCACACCTACTTTTACGTAAGGGTAGGGGTCACGGGGAAGGGGATGGATTTCAGCTGTAATACTAAGTTATAACAGAAATCAGCAGCTATGCCTTTAAAAGTGATAATAGTTTTCTATTGCACATTAATATTTTTTCCTTTCAGTATGATAACATTTTAGTAAAAGCTTTTATCTGCTAAAAGAGCTTTTGAAGTCATCTCCAGTCTTCACATCTTGCTACTTAAATTCAAAATTTCTTGCCCAGTCTCTGCTTTTTCCCTAAAAAGTAATACCTTCAGAAATACCGCAGCAAAGCAGCAATCTCTATTACTGTGGCGTGTGGTGTGTGACTAACAGCTCAATTCCTGCATAGAAGAGTGTTACTATGCCTGATTGTAGACAGATCAACTAGTAGCAATTTAAGATACAACTATAATTAGGCAGTTTCTTATACTCTTTCTCCAGCATAGTTACACCTGAAATAACAAACATCTGTGTCTCTTGCCTTTTTGTGACAGACTGAAAAATATCCTGTCCAAGACACAGGAGTGCCTAAAGGTAAGTGTCGTGAATTCCGACTCTTCGGGCGTTGTAGGTTTGTGTCGCTGCGTGTGATACGACACCTGGTGTTATCAAACAGATTAAAATACTTTTCCCCAGATGTTTTTTTTAAATGTAGTGTTGTCTTCTGTACTTTTAAGGTCAGTTTGGGGTGTGTATACATATATATATATATATATATAACTTTTGAGATTTCCTTCCGAAGTTTAGTTTTGATCTCAAAAGTCAGTCTAAAACTGTCTTCAGAAGATTGGGGTGCTCAGTCTGGAAGGAAAATACAGTGGTGCCATCAAAACAGAGTGTTCCGAGGACAGGTGGTAGAGAGATGCTAATGTCAGAAGGTGGCTTTGAAGAGACTACAAGTGCCTTCAGTTATCAGGAATATAACCCAGAAATACCTTTCAAGTCTCTTGCCTCTGACTGCACTCTCAGCCCTCTCACCGATTAACTCTTCACGCGATCTTTTACCTTCAGCAAGTGTTCATACCATCTAATACAGTCTCTCTCTGCACGAGCTCCTGCCTCTCCTCACTGAAAATGGAGTGAGGGAGGGCAGGTTCTGTATCGCACTGAAGTCCAGTGCTTGGATTGCAGTGTGTGAATATCCCCTTTGTGGTTTCCTTGACGTGTGGGGTGAGAGTTTTTTTTGTCGTCCAAGGCTTCACCATTGGCTTTGTCCAGGGAATGCAGTGGCAGGGGCTCAGTTGAGGAGCGCTCTGCAGGTAGAGTGTTTTCCACCCCATGTTGTGCAGCGGGGACAGATACAGGCAGCTACGCGGAAGCTAGTCACAATGGAAACTTTTGCTGAGGAGCGTGAGCAATATACCACTCAGGTTAAAGAAAGGTTGGAGACTATTTTGGGGGGCTTGAGGGAGCCAGCCAGAGGAAACGAGCATCTCCTCACAAGTGCTGTTTAGTAGGGAAGGGGGATGTGGGATTAAAACTAATTTGGATTCATAAACTGCTGTTTATTTGCAGCCAGGTGGGGTTTGTTCCTTCAAATTGTTCATTAGCGCTAAAGCAATTTCTCTGTAACGTTCTTTTCCATGTCCTGGTTTTTATTTCACCCATGACATCAGGATCGCCTTGAAATTAATTAGATAAATTCCTAAATTTCCAAGTTTGAAATTTGAGATTGCATGTTTTAAATGTATTTGATTTAAAAAGGAAAATTGAGAGGAAGTAGAGATTTCAGCACTTTCTGTAGAAAGGAAGTTAACTGAGTTTCTTTTTAATTTTGGTTTCTGCTTCCTCTTGCTAAGTGTAAAAAGATGTATGTACTAATATAGCTTGACATTTCCCCTTTGAAGTTGAAGGTGATACAAATACCTCTCAATATTCTGTTTATTTCGTGATTTAAATTTTCTTCTAAGAAAGACTTTACATAACTATTCCTATAAAAACACAGACTTAAAATACAAATCTGTGAGCTAAAAGGTGTTACAGGTGCACAGGTCTGATTCTGTATAAGACAAACTATGTTGGCTTCAGTTGTAATGTTTAAAGAGACTACATTGGCCAAGGGTGGGGGCTGTTTTGTTGCTTTTATATGCCCATTAATGAATGGACCATTTTCGGGCTGTAACTAATTAAAGTTCTTAGCACCCTCTACCGATTATGGATTAAAGCTCAGTTGGGGTAACTTTTCATCTTGCAGGACTAGGCTTAATGTCTACCTCATGTTTTGATTATAATGTACTGCATCTGAGTGGAGGTAACAAATTCCACACATAATGTTTCCACGCAGATGAAGTGGAATTTTGATGCCCATACTCTGCATTTTCAGCCAGACTTCTTTTGTTGCTGCTGTTGTCATCTCTGGACCTACAGTCATTAAGATAAACATGATCCTTATTAAACATTTACCCTGCTAGGGGTGGAATACTATTTGGCTTTCAGTTTCAGCAGTCTTGTAAAACCAGAAAAGTCATGGGTTTGTTTTTTTCTTGCAAGTGTAAGGATGGATTATCTAATTCAGATCAATTTCTTGAGTGAGAGAGCACAAAGAAGAGATACGTCCTTATCTGATGATTCGTAAAGATATTAGCTGTTCTTTAATGAGATCTTACCCCTAAACAAACAGCAGAGCGAAATGTACCAGCACTACAAACCCAGTCACCACCATGGAGGATCCTGGTGTGTAAAACTGCGTAGAATATAGCCCCTTTCAAACTTGTGTTAATGCTTGGTCAGGACCTGACCCAGGGGAATTATGCAAATGGTTTGATGATGAGAGCCTTATTGCACATGCAGAGTGAAATTTGTCTGTTTGCAAAAGGTTCCCAAAGGGCTTATGCATCCCTTGTACCCCATTTTGAGGGCTGAAGTCAAGCTTGAAACTAAACGGAGTTTGTGCTGTACTGGAGAATGTTGTGCTTTTCGGTGGACTCCCGGGGCAGTTGATAAAAACACCTTGAAATGATCATTTCGGTGCTTCAGAAAACTCCAGCGCAGTAGAGATAAGTAGGATGAGCCTAGTTCACAAAGGGGCAAAATAAAAGGTAAATGTGTACTCAACAGTTATCGTTGTAAGTGTGATGAAAAAGGCAAAGCAGAGAGCGATAATACTGTCTTTAGCCTTCCTTGATGTACAGGCCTGGTTAATACTCTCTGGTCAGCTTTCTGAAAAAGGACATGAGTCCTGCTTAAAAAATGGCGTGGTGTTTGTTTCAAAACCAAGCGCTGCACTAATATCTGATGTCTCCAAGGATTGTTTTTCTTCACACAGTCGTCTCTGCCAATTTAAGATTTTGGGCTTTTAATACAGCATTTCCCAGTGACTGATTGTGGCAAGGAGTTAACTCATAGGTGCCTGCCATACAAAATTTATGTTTGATAGCCTTACTATTTAAATTTGTATCTGGGTGGAAGACCAGTGTTTCACAGTCTTTGTTTTAGATGAGGAGTACCTAACAGATCAAGTTACGTTGGAAATTGCATCTGTGAACATCAAGACCCTTACGTCGGATTCTGGCCTAATCCAGCAGGTAAGAAAAATGACACCTAAATGTGAACTAAGTTATTGCTGTTGATTAAATAAATGTTAACGAATAAATATATTTTCAGACTATGTTTGGAGAGCACAGAGTTACTCAGTAAAACAGAGCAGAAATAGACTCTCTTTTCACCAGTTGAATGAAGTGAGCTTTTGTGGAGAAGAGCAAAAGAAAGGTTATTTAGCCATTAACTTGTACTTTGTAGTTTAAATAGGTTTTGCTTAGTGTGTAGGTGCCGTGAAGGAGCGCTGACAGAGTGTTAAGGCTTTGTCGTGCATGTTCTCCCTCTTTCTTGCTGAAAACAGAGGCAGGGCAGAGAATAAGTGAAGTAGTAATCCTAGGGTTTGGACTCCTTGCGTTTTGCCCATAGGAAGGCATTTGACTGTTGTGCTTTGACTTTGGGACACTACTCTTCCCATAGTGAAACACTCTCCACTGTTCCTGAAATCTTAGGTTGCACAGGGTGGGCAGTACTGAGCGACCCCCATGATCCATGGCTACTGTCTTTCAAGTGAATGTTACTTGCTGAATTTCCAATTGATTCTCTTTGGGTTGAGCAGAAAACTTTGAGAAGAGAAATGAATAAGCATTTTCCAGCGAGACGAAGAATTAAAAGGAGTTCCTTATGCCAGAGTCCCAGCTGAATTTCATGAGAAACAAACATGGGTATGATATGCATTTCACAGATGATGGAGGTAACAATCTCATTCCCATCATCAAGAAGAGAGCATTTATTGCCAGCTTAGAATCACGATAAAGATATTTCAGTGTGTCAGGGTGTTAATGGTTCTACAGAGCTGAAAAACTTTCTGCTTGTCTTCAGACTGTGCATAGATTTATGGCTTTGATGAGACCTCTAGGGGTTGATCGGATTTTAGTTGTTGGTAAAAAGTATTCTTGCTTACCTTCATTTCATGGACAGTAACACTACATTGTCTGATGGCAATTACAAGAAAATGATCTTGAGTAAACCTGAGTGCCTTTGCCTTAGTACCTTGGTAAAAATGGATAATAACTGATCAGTAAAGCTACAGATTTTGAAAACAGATGAGTGGCACAGGTAAGTATCCCTGGTTTTCTTTTCACTTTTTGCAGCACTGTCCACTCTTGTTATTTTTTTTAATCACAAGACATGAGTATAATGGCATCTCCTAAAGGCAATTAGGTATTAGCTTTCACAATATGGTTTGAACTTTCATGAATTCATAAAGTCTAGGAAACATCACTGAAGCTCAGAACAGCATCTCAGCTATTGCAAATGAAATGAACAGTATTCACTTTTCTTTTTTCCCTTTGGATTTTATTTGCTTGCTTGTTTCTTTTAAACAGGTCTCTGAGGAGGCTGAGCTGTGATGGGCAGCTCCTCATTCTCCCAATGAGTTATCCTTCTGGGGGTTTGCTCCTCCGGGCTCAGTAATAACATTCTACCCCTTTAAGGGATTTGTGGGAGTGGAGACAATGACTACAGTCAGGATCTTCAGCTTTAATTTTTCTTAAACTTTGGATGCGCACCTGTTGCCATGAAGGCCAAATTAAAAACCAAAGCTCTGTCCAGGGAAAGCTTATGTGGTGCTAGTGGAAAAGCAGATTACTAGAAGGTAATGGCAAGGATTATTCTGTTGCCAGAGGCATGTGCAGTGTTAGATCTCTCCTGAGCAGAGAGCAGACATTTTGTGGGGTGAATTGGTGGTGTTGCAATAAAGAAATGCTGAAAACAGCATGCAAATGTTTCCTTTACTAACAAAGTCTAAATATTTTGAAGATTGTTTACCTTCTTTTTACTGCGAATGTATGCACGTTCACCACATCAACTGAAACTGCCCAGATGCTATTTTTAGTGGATTTCTTAGTAAAGAAGGTGTAGCAGGTAGGAGTAGAGTGTCTTATTACACTTTATTGTTACCCAGTTGACCTGTGTTTGCATGCACAGCCTGCAAAGTATTAAGAAGCCTGCTGTGAATGGAAGAACTACGCGATACAAAAAATGAGCAGTACTTTGTTGCAGCTATCTAAGGGGAAAATCCCCTTCTGCTTTCATCTTTAAACCCTCAACAGAATAAAGCTGTTTCACCTGGCTCCACACCCGCACAGTTAAAGTAAGGGCAGCTGCAGTTTCCCCGCAGCTCTAGCATCAACATGCTGTCCTTCCAGTTTTTAGATGTTGCTCTCTAAATAGTAAAATTGAAATGTTACGACGTGTGTTGCAGTCTCAAGCTGCTAAATAATTTCACTTTGTTTAATTAGCAGGCAGAAAGCCACTGAGTGAATGTTTACATCAAACAGGAGGAGGGTTAGACGTGAACCAGCAGAAATGTTCAAGTCCACCCGTTGTCTAGAAAAGCTTCTTATGTATGTAAAGCAATTTTGTAAAAAAAGCTTCTCCACTTTTCCTAGATGAGTGAAACAAGCCCTTTCTGCCATATGCTATAGGCAAAATTCTCCTTGTTCATTACCAAGCAGTTAAAACCCCACTTTTTAATCAAGCTGTATGAGTTGTTGAACAGCTGTTGAGGGCTTAAGAACGAATTACTCAAAAGATGTAACCCCCCAGCATATCATCGACACAGATCACATTGTTCAGTGGATACAAACAAGAGGGCCATTGTGTGACCCAAAGCATGACAGTGCTGCCTGAAAAGACTGCAGGTTGTCAGTGATTCCTCAAAACCAGATATATTCCCTGTCTGACTTTACAAGTAGTTCAGGGTTCTTCCACGTAATCTCCTGCCGCTTGTAAATTAGCCAAATAGTTATTCCGGTGTTCAAATACATTGTTTTGATTTAACGTTTGTTTTCTGCTTTGTAGCCGGAAGACAAAGAGATGCAAAACCGTGATGATGAATCACTCGCAGGTAATATGTGAGCTTTACTGTTCCGTGAATTTTATTCCTAGAATTTCTTTGAAAATACCTTATTAAAAGCTGCTGTTTGTTGTAACCAAGAACTGCCTGTGTAGTCAGTGCTTGTGGAGCTCATTTCATTACCAGTGTCACTTGGAGCTTCCTTTTTGTTCTAAAGGGGGTGGCGATCAGTCACGCAGATCATACGGAATATGTAAGTTGGGCTTTCCAAATACGTGTAGTACATCCATCTTCGGAAGAAATCTGTAACCAGCTGCCTGGCGTGAGCAGAAGCTGGCAGTGGAGGCTTATCCCATCACTGTATGAGGGGGTGGGGGTCGTGTGGATGATGTACAGCCCTGTTAATCTAACAGTGAACAACGGAGAATTTCCTGTTAGTAAGGAAGCTCGTCCTATCATGTAAGCATTAGGATCACGCAATTAGGTGGGTAGGAAATCATTTTCTCATCAGTATCTAACACTGGGCATCTTAGAAAAGCAGGATTCTTTATTATGCTTTCGATAGTCTGCACACGGTATAGCACAAGAAGCAGGTTGGTTTAGTTTTGTTTACATCTAACTGTGCCCTGTGTTTTCTTTACCCCTTCTTCCCTGCCTCTGTTGGAAGGTGAAACTTACTCTGGCATCCTTGCAAAGCAAAATGAGATGAGATTCAGATAGGGTGCTCTCCTGCCCTTTGAGCTCAGCCAGAACCTTGACTGGATTCCATTTGTTCTGCCTTGTTTGTGTAACTCAAACATGGTGTGAGTGAAGCCAGCAGATTTTGTCTCACTTCAGCAAGAGTTTAGGGTTCACAGGAAGAACAGATTAGTTCACAAATTCTGTAGAGAAGAGCTGCAAGGCCTGTGGAATACCTGTGAGCAAAGATGTCACCAGAACATGTTTCCCCTTAACAGGGAATCTGAGCCTTTTTATGTAGTGACGTGTCTGCAGCAGTGTTGTTGCTGCACGTCCCAACCTGTTGAAAACTTCAGAAGTTGTCTTTGGCCTGCTAAAAAAAGCAAGTTGATGAGCAATGTTACAAAAATAACAATAGCTTGTTCTTCCCTTACAAACAAAAACCAAAGTGCATGCAGAAGCTACATTCAGCTGAGCTGCTTCTATCAGCACGAATATTCAGAATAATGATGAAAAAACAACCACCACAATTTGACCAGTCTCTCTGGCATTTTCACACAGTCTGTCAATAATCTTGCAAATGAGAAAACCAACAAACACCTTGACGGAGGTTGTTGTCTGTATGAGTAGGTGGCACCGAGTACCAGATTTGCCCTTTGACAGAGATACAGTTCAGAACTCTTAGAGCAGCACTGATCCAGCACTTGTAAATTGTCTCTGCCTTATGTTGTTGTTTTTAATCACTCTTTTGATTACTGTCACTTCTCTTATTGTAGTGTCCCTTTTTCAAAGAGTTTTATCCCAAGTAGGACCAGTTCCTTATTTTATCCCAAGTAGGACCAGTTGCTTGTGACTTCCCTATTTCAAGCTGTACAGTGATGCTGGAGGACAGAAGCTTTAGAAGGTGCTCCTAGGCTGTGTCCACCATCTACTGCTCTTTGGCCATACCACGTTATCCCTGCCTTCAGAAAGGAGCAGGGACAGTTAAGGTCATATCTGGACCCAAAATGCTTAAACAATGCCCTACACCACTGCAGTGTTAAAGGTACTAGTTTTTAACTAGAAGTAGGGCTAGAACTGTTTGCTATCTGCTTTTCCAGGTTATTAATATGTAATGTAGTCTGATAGCAGCACATTGTTCGCAGTGCTGGGGAGATACTGACTGTTGTGTTTGGGAGCCCAAACGGCGATTTTCAGTATTTGATGCAGGGTTTTAATCCTTTCCATAATGAACATTTAAAGTAGGCCTGCTTGGTAGGCTAGGGACAGCTTTTATTTTAGGAGCCCTTACAAAGCAAAGGAACATCTCCACGTTTTCATCGTGTTAAAGGACTGGACGTTAATTGTGTCTGCAGCTGTCGGCAGAGATTCTCCGGGTGCAGATATTTCACGTTGTTATGAAGGCAGCAGCCCAGAAGTGCAAAACCTTTTCCTTCATCTTACAGCATACACATACAAGATACACATAATGCGTACGTGATCTTGTTGGTGCTGTAAGCAGGGGCTTTGGCAGATTGTAGCCGCTGGGTCTGGTGCAGAGAGAAGCCTTATTTTCATTAATACTTTGTAAGGAAAGGCATTACCTGTCACTATTCTGACTTCATTAGAACGATTCGCGGCAACATCGTACTCTTAACCCCTTTGTGCTTGTGAGGTTTTGTTCCCGGTGAAACCACAGCAATGGATCCTCACTTCTCTCCGTGTAATGGTTTTCACTGCAGATCTCAAGAAAACCTGCAAGGAAAATGGCACCTGCTCCTTGTGCTTATTCCGTGCACCGACCATCAGTGACATGCTCAATGATGAGGACTTGTTGTACACAGTGAGGCTAAAGCTGGATCCCTGCCACCCTACAGTAAAAAACTGGAGAAATTTAGCAAGCAAGTGGGGGATGACTTATGATGAATTGTGTTTCCTTGAACAGAAGCCCCAAAGTCCCACCTTGGAGTTCTTGCTACGGAATAGTGACAGGACTGTGGAGCAGCTGATTGATCTCTGTAAATTTTATAAGAGAATTGATGTTGTGAAAGTGCTGCTGAAATGGGTGGAGGAGGAATGGCCCAAGAGAGGGAACAGAACTTACCAGAATGACTTCTAGGTCAAAGGAAGTTGTTAGTCTGTACATGTTAAACGCTGGGACTAGCTGCTGCTGGTACGTGGGAAGCTTCCCTTGCGAGAGACAGAGCGCCTGTGCGGATGGTTTGTATACTGTGTAAGCTTTGTGTACTGTATACACTTACATACGTTCTGTGCCCTCCGCGTTGCAAAGAGGACCTTCCAGAAATGGATGGAATAATGCAGGTTGTGTTCTTGAGTCTACAAATGCCTTCAGGTTCTTTGCTGCTGTTCGTAGGCTTCCTGAGCAGAGGAGAGATGAAAGAGCTAAACCACTGGTTTTGCTGCAGCAGTTGTGAACCATGGCAGTTGTGTGCTGTTGTACTGGGAGAGCCACAATTAGAAGGCAAGTCTCTTGGCCTTTCTGGCAGGCCTTCCACAATTTTATATGTTCTTCCTAGTAGAAGGTAAGGGGTTGTTTTTTTTTTTTCTTCCTTTTTAAAATTTCTTTTTTTTTTTTTCAACGTTACGACACTGGGTTTGGCACAGGAACACCTCAGTGTTCCAGGCAGCAGTTGGAATTAATTCAGTGTTTCAACACCACAGTCAGGCAAACGAAGCTTTAAATCTCTTTTATAAACAAGAGTGGATGTTAAAGAAAATCAGCATAATCCTGCATCATAGTGCATATATTTGCTATAGAAGAAATCATGCAATTCAGAGAGACTTTCCAGCCCATAACTAATGGGGACCAAAGAAAAACCAACCCACAATTAAAACGCTTTATGCTTAAAATTACTTTCCAAAGTTCTGAAGAGAACGTACACTGTGAGGGCACGTGTCTGTTCATCACAAACGCCTCTCTCTCCGCAGTGCGTGCGACGGCTAATGCCTCACTCACAGTAGATCCTTAGTACTGCATGTAACTTCCCCTTTCACAGGCTGTGGCTTTCTTTACCGTCCTGTGGGTTGATGTACTTTCTGTCCCACACCACAGCAGTTGCACACTTACGTGAAACTAGCGCACGTTTATGTACTGGTTAAAGCCACTCTAATGGGAAATCAGCAGGTGAATTCATCTGCCGTCCAGGTGGATTAAAGCACTTACGGTGGTTTAGACTGATGTTTCTCAAATAATTTTGGTACTCTTAATTATGCTGTTTATACTTTAAATATTTTAGAAATTGGTCTTTTTCCTACCACTCTTCTGCGTTCTGATGTTTTAAAAAAGACTACTGAAAAGTCAGTTATACAACACGATATGTATAAAGTACTTAGAGCTATAATGCCACACAGAACAATGTTGTGACTTAAAAATACTTCTAGTTGTTACCCTTACTGAAAGCATCTCAGACAATACTAATGTGTACATAGATGTATATACCAAAGCACTGGAGAACAGCATGTCAAGACGTGGAGCAAAACTAGAATGGGGTACAGGTTGATACACTGTGTATTTTTCTCGAATAGAGGAATTATTAGCAAAGCCGAGGGAAGTCTAATGCTGTATGCTGAGTTTCTTACTGTAGTAGAATGAAAAGGGACCTCTAGTGGTAGTGTACTGTGGATACTGAGCGATCTGGTTACAGCGAAGCTAGAAGACTAACATTTTCAGTGTCAGGCACTAGTTCTGAGGTGACATAAATTAGCTTTATTTTAGTGACTTCAAAAAGCTGAAGATCTAGTTTCAAGGTGAAAAGACTGACCTAAATTTCAGGTTTGGGTGTTTTTTTCTTCTTTTTAAAAGCTTGTGGAAGACTGGAATTTTTAACCATTCTTCAAAAAAGCTGCTGCTCTTTAGAATATAAATTTTCTAGCCATATTTTAAAGAGGAAATTCTTCTCCTGTATCTTGTTCAGGCTGCCATTCAAGTGTTTCATGTTCCTCTTCTAGGAAGAGGGGTTTCCTGATAGATGTCTCTCAGCTCTAACTTTTGCAAATCATCTTGTGTCTTTAGTCAGGAGCTCTAGAATCAGCTTTGATTCTCCTGTGGCTGGGCCTGCTGATATTTTCAATTCCTACAGAGGCATCCACTGCGTACGTGCAAATAGCTCATAATGCAGCTTGTCCAACATGATCCCCCACACCTTGGGAGTACTATATGCATGATTTAGGATCACGTGTCTGTGTGTCAAGTTGTTCTGAGTGATGAGTGCTGGTGTGTATGCCAACAGCTTTTCTCTGCCCTAACACACCACAGCTATCTGTGTGTGGTATTAAAGGATGCTCTGCTTTGGGGGATCCAGTCCAGCAAGGAGCTAGAGCCCTCACCGGAGGGCATCACGAAATGATGCAGCAGCTTTTCTGAACAAAGATATTCCTTTTCCTGTTTTCTGGCTGAGACTTGTAAAATTTTGAAGAAACACCATTGTCTTATGGAAATGAGTTCTGATCCTTTAAAGTTCTTGAAAAGTCAAAGTAAGCTGGGAGGATTCATGTCTGATGGAACTAAAGCTGCTTCTGAGAGTTCATAGGTGGATTCTGTATAAATTCAACACTGAAGGTTGAAAATGTTAGCCTTAAACTTCATCACACACTGGATTACTCATTAGTATACTTGAAATATTTTTTTCCTCTTTGTATGGCATGAATTGAGATGTACACACTTTTTGTAGTTTTATATCTGTTTACAAGATACCGGGCCTGAGTGTTCAGTTTATTCTTGTATCTTCTGTTATAATGTATACTGTTTTTAGACAAAATACAGATTGTCAGTGTTTTGAGTTTGTTGTTTTTATTACAGCTAGGAAAACAGCTGGTTTCTGTCTCACCGGTCACCTTGGAACCAACTAGTTGTGCCATGTAAACAACATCTTATATACAAGATTGGTGGCATTTTAAAGCACCTGTGTTTGCAACAGATACTGCTGTTCTAGAAAGGAAGATGCACTTTTATCTTTTCCATATGAAAAATGAGTTAATATTGACAAAGATGTTTATCTAGAAACTTGCAGTGGAGTTACTAACTAGAGAGGTATGAAACCTACACAGGGTGAACTCTTCCTGAAATAGTAACTAACCGGATAGCGAAGGTTAGAGAATCACATGGGCACTGGTAGGGCTCTATTAGACTATTGGTTTTGTTCCATTAGATCTTTCTCCTATGCCCCTAAAAGACCCATTTTCCCTTCAGGGATTTCCAGTTCTTTGGCTGCCATGTCTGTCCCTGCAGGATAACCAGTGGCCCTTCCCACCCACCTTAGCTTCGATGAAGATGTCCAAACCACTGTATTCTTTCATTCCTGCAGCTTTATCGAAAACACTAATAACTGTTGGTAATAGCCAAGGTACAGTCCTGTGCTCCAGGAGCCTCTAGTTGTGCTGTGAGGTCAACTATGGGGCAACCCCAAGAAAATAGTGACAGTATCCAGTTGCCTTACTGCCTGCACTTCCCTTTGGTCTGTGGAGAGGAATGCAAAATGGGTTTGGGGCTGTCTTTTGGAAGCCTACCGTAAAGGACAGAGCAGTCAGCAGGTGCTTGCTTGAAGTAAGTTGTACAGAAACTGTAAACCATACTTCTTCCTGAATCACTACTGGATGATGGAGAGCGGCAGCTCATTCTGGGCAATGTTTCCTGCGAGAGGCTGCATATTTTCTGCTGTCTCAAACTGACTGCCTCCCACAGTTCCAAGTCAAGCTGTTACCAAGTGGAATTGTGCTTTAGGGTGGTTTAAGTTAGGGTGACACTGTTGACTTGTGGCCAGACATAGTTGGAAATTATTTGTCAGACAACAGAATTGTTTAAACAAGGTCAAAGGGTGTGCATGGTGTTTATAAGGATTTAAAGAGTAGCTTGCTTCTGTAATTTTTGCAGTATATCACGTGCTCTGCCCATGAGGGAGAAGCAATTCATTATTCATAACTCATTTCAATGTATCTTGTAGGTCTTAAGTTTTGGGCAGTAGGGCAGAGTGCCATTAAGTGGGGACTTGGGCTTCTTGCCTGTTTTGGCAGAAAAGTGCTTCTCCTTGCCCCCAAGGTCAGCTAGTGCTGATTGCATGGTGATGGTCAGTTATGAGCCTTAGCTGGGTAGGGAGGGCGTGGAGCTACTGATCAGGCAGGCTGAAGATGAGGAGCACTAAGAAAAATTTCTTTGGGAAGATGGAGTCTCTAGTATTTGTAAGCCTGTACCTTGGCCAAGGTGTGGGAGTGACTCCATCTTACAAGAAACTGATGGGAAAGGCTTGTCTGCAGCCTCTGTTGAGGTAGGGGCAATTAAACAGCTGAACAGACTTACTAGTTGGTTTGAGCTCTGTATTTTGCCTTAGTAAAATGGTGATTCTTGGTTTCAAAGGTAGGTTGTTGGGTTGAATGCATATTTGTTACCACATCTTTGTTACTGGGGTAATGAGAGTTGCATGAGAATCTTAGATGTGAGAAAGGCAGAGCAGTGCAAGTCGTGTTAGGATTCAGTCAGCAAGGCTGGGTTCGGCCTTCCTGAACTCTGACATGAAAGGTTATTGGGGTGTTGGGTTGGCTCAGCCTTTGTTTACTGGCCTTCACAGTGCTAGGAAAATGAGGATTAAAACTGGGGAAGAGATGAGGAAGAAGTAGCTATTGTCAAAAATAATTAGTGAAAAGTAATGTCTATAGTGTTAACTTTCTCCTTCCTCTGATGTACATACACAAATAGTTTCCTTGACTGAAAATCTTAGTTATTTACAGCTGCATCTTTCAACGTTTCTTGAGAAAATGCCTGAAACAAGGCCAAATGCGTTAGTAACATGGATAATAAATGTGTTCTGTGTATCTGTGTACAGCAGGAGATAGATATGCAGCTTTATGTATCCACATATTATGAGTTTGCTTCAAAATTACCCAATATTTAGTTATTTTTGTCTCCACAAATAACAAAAGTTGCGTGTTGTTGAGGACACAGACCACATTTACACAACTAAAAAGCTTCCTAACAGGAAGAGCCAGGATAAGAATAAGAGAAGGGGCACCCAAATCTGTACAGTAGCAATAATATCATTAGTCTAAGCTGAGGGGTTGTTTTCATGTTTGTGCCCAATATCTGTGAGCTTCCTCAACTCCTCTCAAGCTTCAGTTCATTAATGATTCCATAGATAATTTATTAGATTTTAATTTTTTTTGGTCCTATTTTACTTTTGTCTCCACTTTTCTCTGAAGCTGAGGAATTCACCAACTCAAAGGTCTCTTAGAAGCCTATTGTCCTCGACCCCTCAGAAAACACCTACCACCTTGTAGCGAGAGGTGACACCACAGCCCTCGTTGCTCCCTTGCAGTGCAGCAGCGCTGAGGCAAGTGACCCACCGTAACTGCA